CTCCAAAGTCTGCATAATCGCCGTTTGAGAAGGGGAGGGAGGTCGTGCGTGCCAACACCGGGGGTACCTGGAGCAGCCAGAGGATTTCACCTGGTGAGCTAACCCAGAACGCAGCAGGGAGGGGAACTGACTTCTTCAAACTGCCTCTTAGCTGCAAGTTTACCTCCTCCCTTGGGAAGAAAGGCTGAGAGAGTTCGGGTTGTTCAGCCTGGAGACGAGAAGGCTCCGGGGGGACCTTGCTGCAGCCTCTCAGTATATAAGTATGAGCTTATAAGCAAGATGGAGAGAGACTTTTTACGAAGGCCTGAAGTGACAGGACAAGGAGCAACTGTTTTAAACTGACAAGAGAGTAGGTTTAGATCAGCCAGGAGGACATTCGTTACGATGAGCGTGGTGAGATGCTGCAACAGGTTGCCCAGAGAAGCTGTGGATGCCCCATCCCTAGAAGTGTTCAAGGCCAGGCTGGACGGGGCTTTGAGAAGCCTGATCTTTGAATGATGATCTTTGAAGATCCCTTCCAACCCAACCCATTCAATGATTCTGTGAACCCACTGCCAAGAAGTTAAAACATTTTTAGACAGGAAAAACTCAGCTATAGCAAAGCAAAACAATCTTTTACTGAACTATAGTACTCCAGCCTAGGACATAAAAAACACAAGTGTTTTGCCTGGGTTTGACCAAGTCAAATCTTCAAAGTGTGCTGTTTGCTTCCTACACTTTCCTGTTTGAAAACACGCTGAAGTACAACACGCTGCTGAGCCTGGAGAAGGTAAATGAGATCATATTCCCCTTCTGCAGGTAACAGTGCATCAGTATATCAGCACAGATATACTGAAGTCAACATAGCGACATCAGTTGACACCAATTATTTCCTCAGAGTTTATCGACCAGATCAGCTGAGTTCATTCACACCCTACGTGACTGGGCTTGTCCACGGCTGCTGGAAACAGAAAATTAGCAAACAGCAAGCAGTAAACGTGACCCCGCAACGGAAGGTATCAGATCACTGCCAGAAGAGAGGCTGGGGGTCACTGCCGATGTGCTGATGGCACCCCAGCGCGGTCAGCAGCAGCCCCCGTAACCACGCAGGGACCAGCGGCATCCCCAGGGATGGCCACCCGCGCCCGCCAAGGCAATAACGTCTCACAGCCGTCAGGGACTAGGCACACGTTGGTGCAAGACATGCTGGATGAGGGGAACAAGTAACACCGCTGCACCCCATGACCGACGAGCAGAGAAGTAAAAACAGGCAGCAGTGCTTCCCACCACGACACAGGCAAGGGCATAACTAAGCCAAAGCAGGTGACTCAGCAGCTCTGGGCACCCAGGGGGTTCAGGCTCCTTTCATGGCCCTGACAACTTCGAGTCTTGTGGGGGCCCAATGGCAACCTCGGTCTTGCACCATCAGCGCCTGCGAGGGGCAGGAAGAAGGATGGGGCCTTCCCAGCCAGCCCGGCACAGATCCTGCCCACTCGCCCCGCCATCCTTCCCTCCTCCTCGGGTCACAGCCGGGCCCAGCCATTACCTCCAGCACAGGCAGGCCCGTAGTTCACATTCACCCAGCGTGGCCAAAAATAACATCTCTTTTATTTCACTGTTCAAACACTTCACATAATCCGGACAAACATAATGGAGAGAGAGGGGGTGAAAACAAGTACTTGTAAAAGAAGGTTCCCCTCCCAGGCAGAGCACCTGGGTCCCCAGTTTTGCCCGCCGTCGCTAGTCCTGGCAGGGAGGGCTTCCACCTGGCTCCAGCACCACAGCCACGGCTGGCCCAGCTCCAGGCTGCACACTGGGGGTATCAATGGGGAAAGCAACCTCGCAGCGACAGAGGAAAATGCTTGCTGCGGCCAGTGGGACAGCACAGCCGCTGTTGATGCAGGTCCTAGCGCTGGCCCAGCTTGAGTAGTGGCCCAGCCTACAGCTGCTATGCTAAAAGTACATCGGTTGTGAGGCTGTAAAGACAACAAGAGTGAGAACAAGTGTGCATCAGTGCAGGTCCTGTGCTGCCAGTCCCTACCCTGAAGCTTCACTGCTCCTCTCCATGAATAAGCCAGGCTGCATTGTTCCAGTAAAATTATGTAGGACAGGGGCAGGGGGCAAAAAAATGCCTTTAGCAGTGCTGGGATATCAGGATGCACCCGCAGAAGCAACAAGGAAATAAATTAATTCATGCTAGGACACTTAATGAGCACAAGAGCAGGCCATACTGTATTGCTCCTCTGTGCTGTTAAAAAAAAAAAAAAAAAAAAAGAGAGAACAGAGCACCACTAAACAGGAAAAAAATAAAATCCGGGCAATTTCAGTGGGGAGGGCCGAACTGTGCTCTCTAATAATGCTTGCAGACATAAAGGATTGCTTGCAGACAAGCATAGGCACCGCTGTGGCAGATACAGCATCAACACTGGGCTGTAAAAATGGAGCTCAGCTACAGCAGAGTTTAAATTGCTAGTAAAATAAAAAAACCCTACATCAAACTCCAGAAACCTTCAAGTTTTGCTTGAAGGTACAGTGTGACTTCAGAAAGTAGTAAAGAAAGAAATGGGGCTAGCATGCACATTGAGCAATCCAGATTGCTCCTCCTGACCTCTTATCAATAGCTCCCATGTATTACACAGCCTCCGAGGTTCTGCTGTGCCACCCCACGATCTCTCAGAGGCTGGCAGCGACAACCCATCATAACCCAGACGTTTCTCAAGGAACAATAGCCAGCGACACCAAAAAAGCCACGAACATCATGCCAGGCAAGGGTAGCCCTAAGGGCAAAAGCGCAACACGCCAAGATTTGTTCCTGTGTCATCTCTTTCAGTGAAAACACCCAAGTCAGAGCTTTTGGAAAGACTGTAAGAATTCCTTAAGATCTCATATGAATCAAAAGCTGGTGCAACTGAATTGCAAATATTTATACCTTAAGAAGTGTTAGATGTTAAATTTACAAATATTTTTCCTGTTCTGTACCCTCTAGGCGTACATCTCCCAAAAGCCTGACCTTGCAACCAGTGCGTGCTGCAGGTTCAGTTGTCAACAGATGCGGCAAAGCCAGCGGTGGACCTCTCACAGATGTGTCGGCAGATCGCTTTGGTCACAAACAAGACTGCAGTGGTAGCCTGTTTGTCTCTTCCCAGTCCTGAGGGAAGACTAGATACTGGCCTTGGAACTTTGTTAATAGCTATTAGGTTTTTAATTATATACAGTTTTAAATACCACAGAGCAGGTGCAGTTAAGTCTCTGACAGATTGGCAGGTGTTAAACTGCAAACCCCTAGCAAATCCAAAAGATGACAACCCTTAGTAGGGCCTGTAGCAATAGGACAAGAGGGTTTAAACTAAAATGCAGACTAGATATAAGGAAGAAATCTTTTTGTGATGAGGGTGGCGAGACACTGGAACAGGTTGCCCAGAGAAGTGGTAGATGCTCCATCCCTGGGCATTCCCTGAATGGAAACAATCAAGGCCCGGTGGGACGGAGCTCTGAGCAACCCGATCTGGTTGAAGATGTCCCTACTCGTCACAGGGAGGTTGGAGTAGATGACCTTTAAAGGTCCCTTCCAACCCAAACTATTCTATGATTCTAGGATTGAATGTACAGAAGTTTTTCTCTTGAGCCATTCTTCCCCACTACAGGTGTACTGTGCATAAACTTGAAAGCAGAAAATAAAGCTACTAGTCTGCAGCAAGTTACTCAAGAGGACACTCTTTTGGAGAAAAAAAAATGTTTTAAATATACTTAGTAATAATTTGATTCATTATTCATTTAGGAATTGTCTCCCTATGTACTAAACAACTGTGATTGGCAACAACAAAACATAAGAACAACCAACCCTTCCGTTTTAGAAAATTATGCCAGAAGCATCCACAGGAAGATGAAGGAGTCCCCAACACAACAACTTGCAGAGCTGGAAACATGTGAGCTGCATCTTTGGGGGGTTTTGGGAAGGTGGTTTGTTTGGTTTTTTTTTTTTTTTTAAACTAGCAGTTCTTCACTCCGGTTACAGTGTCTCGGTGTGAGCTCCTGGGTCACTGCATGCGTTCTTTGTAGCGGAGAGGGCTGGGAAACTCTAGAAGCAGTATTGAGTATTTACCCCTCCTTTTTACCGCAGTCAGGATCAGGAGAGAAACGTACCTCATTACTGCTCCTTCATGCACCTTTCTAATCCACAAAATGCAGTTTCGTTTCCCTTCCTCCTGCATTAGCCAGTTTCACAGCAGAAAATGCCCGTCCTCACTTCTCTCCAGGTAGATGGTAATGTCATGCATAGCTGCTAAAAGTCAAAGCTGCAGATTTGCCTGGGCACAACTGAGGAGGAGTTGAAAGAGAGACAGAACCCAGGTGTTCAGCACCGTGGTATCCTATAGGAACCATAAAGGGGTCTCTACAAAATGCAGACAAAATTCTTCCCACATTAAAAAGAATTACAAGAGAAAAATGAAAGAAAAAACTTCCTCCTTCAACTTGCAATTAGAGCAGCAAGAGCTGTGATGCTGCTTGTTAATACACGAAAGCCCACTACGGAAGGAGAATTCGCATTAATGAAGTCTCCAAATGAATAGTACGTATCCACAGTGATTTTAATAGATCAGCTTCTGAATCTTACACTGTCATATCGGACATAAAAAGACTGTAATTGATTTATTAGCTACAAATATAAATTATACCTGAATTTTCTTTTTTTTTTCTTAAGAATAAAAAAGTACCGTGTTCAATCTTCCAAAGTTAGAATCGCAAGGGGAAAGATGATAATCATGTGAAAGCTGTCGAGAGTACACAAACAGATCATTTACATGCAACATGAAATGGAGAGTCACTAAAAATCAGACTCCTTCAAAACTGTTCAAATGATTGTCGCTACCAATTGTACTAACACACCATTTGTCTTCAGAGCCCATGGAAACCGGCAAGTCTTCCTCCATAATTTCACTCGCATTCCCATTTTCATACACAGAGCTTCCCAGAAACCTTTAATGGTCAGAAGATTTGGTTTTTTTCACATACATCATTTTAGTCTATTTATTCTTTGACTTTTCCTTTCTGGTGAACTGCAAGCACTTGGTACTCCTCAGTTTGCCGGAGCGAACAATCCCTCCCCTTTTCTTATGTCACGTAAACGGTTCAGGCACAACAACCAGACTTTGTCCTTTTTGCTGGCTTGTAGTCAGTAATGTCTACGGTTTGCGGTGGCCCCTCAGCTTTCTGCCGTACAATTATTGGGACTACCATGTCAAACACAGTTTCAAAGAGGTAGTCCACCTTGTATCCTGTTTTTGCACTGGTCTCAAAGCACATTTTCTCAGCTGCTGGAACATCCTTCTCATCTAGCATTTTGTATTTCAGTATCTTTTTATAGAGCGCAATGGCATCCTCTGCACGGACTTGTTTTCGCACCTTCGAGCCACAGCTGGCAACAGACTTCTCAGGTCTATTTTCATCCGGTGGTAAAGCACAGTCATCAGTGAGGTCAACTTTATTTCCAACAACAGCAAAAATGCAGTCAGCACTCGCACTGTCCGTCAGTGCCAAGAATCTTTCTTCCAGCTCGGTCAGGCTTTGGAGGCTGTTCACATCGTACGTGAGGATCACAGCAGCTGCTCCTCTGCAGTACATAGACCCGAGGCCATGAAACTGCTCCCGTCCTGGCAAAGGTTTAAACACAACAAAAAGTTAGTGTGCTGGAAGCTACATTATTAACTGAGTCAACGAGTTTAAGGAATTTTAAGCCAATTTCACAAGTTTGGATGGAGCAGCGAAAGGAAAAATACATTATTGGTAGCATTTTCGGGTTTTTTCCTTCTGCTTTTCCTTAAGAGTGCAACTGGGCCACAGAACAGCTCAGCTCATCGCTTGCTCAATTTCAGAGCAGGGAATCTGTAAAGACGAGTGAGCGAGCAAGTGTGGCACAGCATTCACAGTTGCAGAAAGGAAAAAAAGGGTTTTTTTTATTAAATTGCATACTAGTTTATTTATGTCACATTAACAACTACCCTGCTTGCACCCACAGATGGCCCATTCTACCTATTTAACCATTTATAAACAAAAAATAAGTTCTACTGTTTCAAATTCTGCTAGAACTTACTACTCCTATAAATTCAGTATACACTTTCAAGTACAACCAGTTCAGAAACCTAGATCAAAGTCAGTAACCCACTTCTTCCTAGGTTTTGAAGGATTTTCTAAGCCCTTTAGTCCTATGCTACATGTCCACAGTTCTCAGGTACATTGGCTTTCCAGGAAAAGACTTGTCGTCTTTAACGCTGCCGTATATAGCCTGTATTGATACACATCTGCCCCACCACAAGTACTCACAGTTTTTTTTGGAGTATTAAACACACACAATATAGAGAACCCTAACTACACTTTAAGAGTAATTTATCTTTTAAGTTGCCCTGACCATCACTCAATAACCAATAGTTAATAACGAAACATTTCCTCCTCATCATCATTCAGCGAGCATCTACCAGCACTTCCAGCTAAGTCTTGATGGTCTCCTTCAAATTCTTTTCTTGGAAGACAAAACTGACTCTTCTTTAAGTTCTAGGAAGCAGTGTTCTTCAGTAATTGCAAAGGGACTAAAGGAAATAAGGCAGAAGACGGACAAACAGTGTTTTCCTTTCCAATCGAGAACTGCAACTTTCCCCAAATACCTGCTACATGTAGAATTTGCTGTAGCACATTCACTTTACTCCCCAAAACTCCATCAAAGAAAAGATAAAACACACCAGATTTCAACCAGCCATCAGAGTCAGCCTTAGGTCACTACAGAAGAGAAGTGTGAATGAACAAAGGGGAAAAAAAAGATAAAGAAGACCCAACTACGCTCTTCTGAACATTTAAGAACCATCATCATTTATCAACTCTTTTCATACAGTCTCTTTGCACAGAGCCTCCATTTATAGAAAATCTGAAGTGATCTGGTTCCATTAATTTTCTGCACAAAGCTACTGACCACCACGAGTTACAGCATCATGAAATCCTTGTAAATGACTGGGGAATAGGAAAGGCAGAAGAAAATCATGCTGAAAAATACAGGTCAGTGTATATTGGGAACACACATCTGCACATGAACATGCACGCTGTGAAGGTAACTTAGAGCCTATCTCCAGGTGGGAATAGAACTTAAAATAGATCTTTGAGTCACTGTAGTAAGTCCTTCAACAAACTTCAGGACGCTACTCCACAGTGGCCAGAACAGAGAGACAGTGTTCATCGTTACCGGTAAAACAAAACTGGAAAACGTCAAGCTAGAACATGAACTCCAAAGCTCACCACACCTTTAACGCTTAGTGAAGCTCCGGTAACCGCCAGAGAAGTACTTGAAAAGGTGCAGAGTACACTATAGAGAGGTCTGAAGGAAGCTGGTGAGGGTGCTCAGAAGTACGCAAAACTTTTGCATGAGGAAAAATTGCGGGATCTCTCGGGCTGGGGAATGACTGAAAAAGGGTGTAAACAGACGTCTATAAATTCAGGCCTAATACTGAGAAAGTAAGCCAGAAACAGCTATTTACTCTTTCTCATAATGCAGAAAATGAGGATTTCCCATCAAAAAAACTATGCATGTTGTTCAAATACTTTCCCACGCAGTGAATAATTGGCAATAAGTGCTATATGACATTGCAGAGGTCAAGAGTTCAACGAACGGAGTTCAGAAAAGCATTAGGCAAAGTTGATGGAGAATTGTTTCTGTGCAATTTTTTTATAACCTCTGATTTGTTTTTCCTCCAGCAAAAGAAATTCTTTAACCTATGATCTGGAAGGTAGGAAAAAAGGGGGGGAAAAAAAGAATAGATATGCCCTTGGTTTGGTGCCTTGGGTAAGGGCAAGGGAGATCGGGGTGTAGGGGAAAGAGAAGGTCAGTGCTTTTATAGGTTTTTTCCTCCAACCTCATGTTCAAAGTTGTGCTTTCAGTTGCACTGCGAGTTTTTAAAAGTCTCCAATTTTTCAGTAGAAGTTTGTGCCGTGACCTACTCTGTTTTTATCCGAATCCCGATTATACTGCGGTCTGGAAACCACAGTGGAACATATATCCTCCCCCGTTCTCCCACTTCAGATGCCTAAGATATAAAATCCAGCCCCCAAAATCATTTGCTACAGCAACCAAGTACTAGAACAATACTATTACTTGTTTTATGGAATTTGTATGCTAATCTAATCTTGCACAGCATAATATAAACCATGATTCAAACTACAAACTGGCTACTTCTACAACTAATATATTGTTGAAGAGGGGAAAGAAACAGTAAGAAGAATTTACCTTGCATAAGGGATTAATTATGTCAGAGGAATTCGGGATAGTCTCTCTCGCTCACCCACACAGCACAATCTACATGCAGAAAAAATTGCATAATTTATTTTTGCAGCGCAGTTTCCTTGTACAGACCACTTCTGGCACTTAAGGGCTGGAACAACCCTAGATGCGGAAACCCCCCAAAAACTACACAAAGTATTTAAACTAATATCTTAGCTGTCCCCAAGGCGTCAGGCAAAATAGTATCAGATATTACAGTAAAAACCTTATTGCATGAAAACAGCTGCCCTCTTCTTATGGCCAGTTATTTCTTTCTCTGAACCCATCTGGTCCCACTACAACCATGTACCTTTTTACACAGTTAACTAAATTAAATGGTAAACCCTGAATCCAAGAATTAAACAATTTCACCTTTTCAAAAAATAAAGGTAACAGGGAAGAGTGGCCGGACTATCAAATAATTTGCAATCAACGTAATTGCAAGAAGAACCAAATCAACCACAAAGGTACAACGTTAGAGAAACTTCTTAAAGCCAAGCAACCAAAAACTAATTTCCATTTTTCTTTTCATCTTCATGTTTTGCCTTATTTACAGCAGTTTGACAACCCTACAGCCATATCACCACCTGCAGCAGCATTAGCTTTTCAGAGGCTCTTCCAGCAAGTGCATGAAGTCCTGTTGGAGACTTCACCCACTCAGGAGCAGCGCAGCCAACATGCATTTTCAAAGTCCTATGATGGCTGTCATAAACAAATCGAAGAATTTTGAGCCAAATGGACCTCAGTACCATAAAGTTCATAGGAAACCCAAGGGAGAAAGAAGGTAAAAGCAGACCTTGCAAGAGGCCAGCCCGATAAATAAGCAAGGCTAGATTTAAAGTGTGCCGAGACTTGAACTTAAGGCCTAGGCTTTGGTCTAGCCAGCCTCCTACAGCACCCCAACCTCTCAGCTGGAAGGCAGCAGCCCACACGAAGGCTTTCTCTGGATGGGACCACAGCCTGACTGAGCATCCCCTTCCTTTCCCTTCCCAGCCCCCAGCTGTGGGATCCACTGGCAGCAGCAGTGCTTGCCACTGCCCAGGCTCCTCCTTGGAGCTCTCCTGCCCACCATCCCTGGGGGTGGTCTCCAAAGTAGCCTGTGAAGTTGCCGTTGATGTTTATGAGAGCAAAAGATTTCCTCCACCCAGATTTGAATGTTCCTTACCTACCACCTCTTCAAAGGCTTTCGCCACAACTTCTTAAGTAGCATAACTTCCCACACACACACTCCTTCAAGAAATCCTCTACCGGGAGAACAAGTTTTAAATCTCTCAGTGTTAAGCACATACAAGAATGCAAAACAGACTGTTACGTTAAGTCTTGAGGGAATAAAACACCGCAAATACCAAAGAGCTAAAAAGGTCTTCCAGAAAGTACTGGAAAAAGTACTGTCGTCACTGTATCACAGTCTGAGAAGGGTCCTAAGTCTGAGTTCCTAAAGTAAATATGTCGTGTGGAAAAATACATGACGGTGAGCAACAGAAGCGCGCTAACATTGCATTGAAAATGAGCAAGAGTGCAAAATTGTCCAGAAAGTTCTCAGTCCATAAACCAGGTATCTTCCAAGGATTTTCACTGTAATTTAAGCTGGATTGTAATCTGAACAGTAGAGACAAATTAACACCAACACCGGCTATCAGCTACGTTTTGCCTTTCAAATTCTCTCTCTCCTTTATAAGAGGGTCTGAACTAGAGTGTACACAAAGGGAGAGAGGAACTGCGCCCTGAGGAAACAGCCAAAAGAGAAAGAAAAGAGAAAGAAAAGAGAAAGCCCAACACCCATGACACAGCAACAGAAACGAGTATCAGAAAGAAATGAGAGTTGAGGATTCAGCTGCAGTGGATGAAGGTTCAAAGGGTGACCCTGATGCTCTGGAGTTACCTCAGCGGGAGCATCCGCATGATCACAACAGCGGACAAAGAAGCTCCTTTTTTAAGGAACAGCATTTCCTTCTGTTTGCAGACACAGCAGTAAAGCTGTGACCCTTTAAAGGACATTAGGGGAAACAATTTTGCTAGGAACTGAGATTTCTGTTTGTGCACGTATACCGAGATATGTACTATCAAAGAACAAACAATAAAGGTCCCTGAAGGTTTCAGGAAAATTCCCCTGCCCACATGTGAGTCAGGCTGTAAAGTTTTGGCACTGATTAAGACAGAATTCTTCATTACCTTGTTCAAGATTGATATTTATTTCTTCTAGGTGGCTTTATCACATTTCCCTTGAAGTAAGGAGCTTTATTAAGAACCTGACTATGCCTGTGGTTACTGGGGGACAAAAATAAAGCTCTCCATCCCAAAGGATTAACACAGAGGACACAAGTAGGAATTAGTGGAAACAAATGAGTC